TCAGTGTTAGTGTATAAGAAAGGAACTAATTTCTGTACATTGATTTTATATCCTGCCACATCACTGAATTGCTGTGTGAGTTCTAGTAGTTTGGTGGAGTCTTTTGGATCATGTCATCTGCCAAGAGAGAGTTTGATTTCTTCTTTGCCAATAATTCTTTTATTGTCTGTTTGCTGATGCTCAGACTTCTATATCCAACAGTAGGGACAAGAGAACTATGAGAAATAACATCAAAACTAATGATGTACTGTTTGGTGACTAACATAACAATTTTTAAAAGCTGAAATTCAAACTTAAAAAAAAATTTCCAAGGTCCTGGAGGAACCACGGCTGCCCATGTCACTCCACGCCCCTGCTGGTGAGGAAACAAGAAGATCACTGCTCGGACAGACAGATCCAGGCCTCTATGTCCTGACCACGAGGGGCCTGGAAAGAGCAGCCAGCAGAAGGGCAAGAAGGCAGAAAGGGCTGAGGTAGTGCTGGGTCTGAAAGTTCCATGAGGACAGTCTTCTGCGTGCATTGGGGGACAGCCGTGGCCCGGAGCCCTGCCTTCCTGCTGGCTGCCCAACCAGCCGCTGGCCCAGTCAGGGAAAGCGGCAGTGAGTGTCCTTTGGCGGCCAGGATCAGAGTGCTTCAACCTCTCCAGGATATTCTCCTCCTTCAGACGTCCTTGCACAGGTCTCTGTGCTCCCCACGCCCCCGGGACCCCCACGGTTGTCCTCCGTGGCTCACGTTCGCAATCATGGCCTGCAGTACTCGGTGCGGTCTCCGACCGCAATGCAGCGTGCGGCATCAGTGCCTTGACCTTCCCTCAGAGCAGTGTGTGCACTAAGCTCCTCCCCCTTAGTTGAGTGTTACTGTAATTACAGGGATTACAAGTATTTGTTATTTTGTTCATTGGCAGGATAGTTCCGCTGGTTATTCATCGTTAGCTCCTGCACTTAGCATTCTAGCCGGGGCTCCCAAACAGAAAGGAGTGCCCAGACCCACGCCACTCCCTCCAGGTCTTAGACCCAGCCGCAGCTCTCCATCGGGTCTCACGTCCTGTCTTCCCTTCCGACATCCGGTTTTCCCGAGCTCCATTATGTTCGCTGCGTCTCCATACCATGATTTCACCAAAGCCTGCTGGAGGGTCTTGTCCTCGGTACTTCCCTACTAGCAGGGGGCAAAACCGGCCGGCACCTGGGGTTCCAGGGCGTCTAGAGAGGACTTAGAAGATTCGGAGTTTTCTTGGACTGGCAGAGAGCCTCTCCAGGACTTGTAGTCGAGCTCCGGCCTTGCACACCTGAGGTACCTAGGAAATTTGCAGAGGTTTATGCAGTCCTACAACATAAATGCATATAGTTGTGGTTCCTAGAGCTCAAAAATGAACTTGGAAAACTTGCAGAGTCTCTGGAAGAGGGTGAAGAATTCTGCTGCCAATCCGAGAGAAAGGAGCAGTTCCACTGCCCGAAAGACAGTCCTGCATAAAGTTCTTGTGTCGGAGGAGCACGTGGATAAAACGGAAACCAAACAAATATGCCTCAGACCAGTGGAAACTCCTCTAGACCAATCCTGGCCGAAGCTTGAATCCAGCCAGGGCAAACCGAATTCCCCCTGCCTTTCAGTGCTGTCGTGATTCCCTAGTCAAAATTCAGAACGTGTCTGTAGAACCATCCAGGCAGGGCCGTTCCCGCTCAGGCAGCAGTGCACGTTGGCAAAGCCCCATGCCCGGGAAGAGTGCCAGGGGTAACAAGGAATAGCAAGAAGGGTAAGAGGTCTCTTGGTGTATCCCAGTCAACAATTGTTGACAATCGAGCACGCGTGCACACACACAGTCACTCACGGATGAAGAAATGAGGGCAGAAAGTTTGTGCACACTGGTGCCAGTAGGTAGTGGAGACAACGTTCCAGACTGAATTCGTATGTAGGGAAGTATTTTGTGACATGGCAGAGTCTAGACATGTGAGGAGACTGTCTTTCTGCATGTGTGCATGGGACACTCAGTGTGCATCTGTGTACACTGGGCTTTGGGGTGTAGATTTCTACTGCAAGATTTCTGGAGAGGTTTGGGTCTGTTGCAAGGTCTGAGGACTTGCCAGTTGTGCTGTTTGGAAAGTCAGCTGATGCTGGGTATGGGGTGTTTCTGTTTTTGCAATATGGGAGCCACGTTCAGTGACTTAGAAGAACTGAGTGTGGAAGTGTTTGCATGATATGGCGGGGTACGGGGGCTTGTTCTCACATTTCCTGTGCTGGTATTAAGTGCTGTCAGTGTAAGTTCAATCTTTGGCAGGTCGTCAAAGCAAGTTCAGTGGTGTGTTTTTAAGGGGCAGTGTGCTGGGCCATCTACATAGCTTTTGGTGCATTTATTATACACTGTGGCTCACCGTGGGGGGCTGTGTTTGTGCAGGGAAAGTGTGTGCAGCTGGAACTGCAGGCATGTGTGCACATTGCCTGGCCTTGGTGAGATTTGGGATTTTGTATTTGGAGGCAAGTTTATTTAATATGTATTCAGAAATGAGGGAGAATGTCATTGTGTTCTATATGAAGACGGTATTTGAATCCATAGACTTTTGTGGTTAGAAAGAGTGTAGGTAAATGTTGTATTCAAAAATTAGGAGCAAGAGACCCTCTGCTGTAATAATGGTTTTTATGGATATGTAAATGAGTCAGGAATAATTTTTTCCTGTGTTCTGAGCTACATAGTATTAAGATCTTATAAAGTTTTCCTAATTGCCACTAACAAAAAAGTTACCTGCCACCTTTCACTAAACAGCAGAGATGATTACTGAGGGCTCCCCTCCGACATACACAGCCAGCATCCCAGTTGGCGCTCGTGCTGTCATCAGGCCATCAGAGTGACCATCTTCAAAGAGCCATCCTACAGGCATTATGATTATGTAGGGCTGTGTCAGCTCCTCAAAATGGGACTCATTCTTTAGTGAAGGCATTTTTATAAGGAATGCCTGGAAAATATTTTTTCATTGTAATAATAATATAAAGAAAATGTAGATAGAAGTAATTACACTTCAATGCACTCCTTTTCACTCCTCAGCTTTCATGGGACCTAATTCTCAGCCAGGCAGAGAGATTCAGAGATGTGGGCAGATGGTAGTCTACTAAGACACCCTCTTATGGGCTTGGCTTTTCATAGGGAACTTCCAAACAAGGCACATCCTGTGTGCACCCACGTCATCACTTCGGTCAACCTCCAGCCTCCCGCAGCATTCTGTGTGTGAACCAGAGCACAGATTTGATGGAGAAGGTGTCTTGGAGGCGGGATAGTTCACACCGGCAGAACTGCATCACTTGACTTTGTAGAGAGCGGGGGATGAAGGAGAACTGAATGGGGGAGAGGCTCAGGTAGTTGGATTCCCTGACCCCAAGTCATACACAGCCCTCCTTAATCTGGGTCCAGTCCCACAGATCTGAGACCACTGAGTGAGTTCAAGTGATCTCTGCCCTGGTGGCCTGGAAGCCCCGTGGGCAGGGCTCCCCTGACTCCCTCCATGAACCCCCATGTTTACTGTTCCCCTAAGAGAATATTATCCTTCCAGGACTTAAATCCATTGAGTCCAGGTATTTAATATTTTCTAAAAAAGGTAAAAGTTGGAGAAATTTGTGTTAGGTTTTGGGAAAACCAGAAGAGTTTTTCTTTGGGAAGCGTCTTTGAGAAATTTCTGCAGCAAGAATAGCTCGGATTTAGTTTTGCCACATTCCCGCTGGCATGAACCTCAGAATTTACAGTAATAGAAAAGGAGACTTTCCACTCACGTATTTCACAATTAATATTTATTAAGGGTATAAATGAGGCGACTGAAATCTGAAAATCCAGTTTTATCGTGCTTTTTAATGTCAGAGAAGAGACATTTCAATAACATGTATATGAAAAGAGGGGTGCCTGGGTGGCTCAGTCCTTAAGCGTCTGCCTTCAGCTCGGGTTATAACCCCGGAGTCCTGGGATGGAGCCCCGCACAGGGCTCCCCGCTCAGCGGGAAGCTTGCTTCTCCTCCCACTCCCCCAGCTTGTGTTCCCTCTCTCGCTGTGTCTGTCAAATAAATAAAATCTTAAAAAAAAAAAAAGAAAAGCGAATACTTGTCCACATTTGACACAAAAGATTTAGAAATAGAAAAAAGCATAGATCAAAACATCTGCTTTTTCAAAATTAAAAATGCTCTTTTGAGTAACTCCGGAATAAAGATAAAAATGTGAAATGTAGTAACTCGGGCAACTTGCTGGATGTCACGCACATTTGTCTCAAAGGTAAGTGAACTTTACCTCTTCTCCAGACGTGGGCAGTCACACCAGTGCCTCGGCCGTCCGTGCTCACTCACAGTCCTGGGCTCGCGAAGTCCTCCTGCCGCCCCGCGAGCCGGAGGACACATGGAAGCCTCCTCCCGCGGCTGTCACGGTGCAAGGTCACATTCCGCACGGGCGAGCTCGGCGTTCACACCCGTCCCGCCGAAAAGAAACAGACATTTACCAGGTGCAGCTGCGGACGTCCCTGCCCCGCACACCGCCTGCATCTCCGAGCACAGAGGCCCCGCGCCCGGGCCGCCCTCCGAGCCCGCGGCAGCCGCGGGCACGCACGGTTTACTCACGCTGGTCTCAACCTGCTGAGAAGGAACTAGAGCCGCACTCCACGCCAGCGCCAAGCTTCACCTGAGAGCCTGACTCAAACATCCGAAGCAGAGTGGGGCACTGCCCCTCAGGACGCCCTACACGCTCACCGCGGAGCAAAAGCGCGGCCCGTGGGCGGAAGTACGTGCGGTCCGGAAACGCCTAAGGGGCGGGGCGGAGGCACGCGCACGCCCCGCCCCACCCGCGCCTGCCGTTTCCGGCCCACCCGGAAGTAGATTTCCCGGATGGAAGGGCGTCTTGGCCGGAGTGAGCTTCGGCATTTCTGAGGCAGCTCCCACGTTGATGCCCACGGCGTTGCGTCCTTCTCACCCGGAGCCCTGCGCCTCCCGAACCTTACAGCATCCCCCTCCGCCCGCCTCGCCCGCGGGGAGCCCGGCCTGGCTGGTCTGGATCCGCGTCTTTTCCTCCCGGTAGGCTGGCTCCCAGGCCGTCCGCGCCGCAACTTTTCTACCTCTGTTCTTTTCACTGTCTCCCCTCCGCACCCCGCGCGTGTCAGTCCCCACTCGCGACATGGGTCCTCGCCCTTCGCGGCACCAGGGCGCTTCGCCCTCCTGCGGCCGAATCCTGTGGACCCGGTCCTGAGTTCTCACCTTCCTCGCGTCGTCCCGAGGCCGGCCCGGCTGCTTCTCGGGCCCCACCACAGTCACCTCCTCGGGCCGACCCCGTGCTGGGGCGCTCACCCGTCCCGTCCTCTGACACCCCTTGTTCTGTCCCATCCGCTCCCACTGGCTGTGCCACCAGAAAGTGTGCTTTCCCTGGGCAGGGGCATCTTCATTCTGTTCCTGCGAATGTGGAGGTGGGGCAGGGGGTAAGGGGGAAAGAGAGAGACCAGGGAGAACCGGGGAAACAGATTCAAGGAGAGAGATGAGAAAAAGCAGGGGTAAAATTGAGGATAGAGAAGTGGGTCCGATGGGCTTAGACCAAATAAGAATGAGAGACCGTTACCTGGGCTAGAAGCAGTGGAGTAAAAGAAGAAAGTGAAAAAGGATGAGCGGAGAGGCGACAGAGTACAGAATGGGGGCGGGGGCGTCGAGCAACAGTAGCAATGGAGGCAAAAGAAGGGTAGATCCCAAATTCGGTAGAGTTTTGTTTTTAATTTTTAACTTACGTGTTCTTTTAAATGTACTATGTCAGATTCATATGACGAGATCTCAGTGGTTTTACAGTCTGTTATAACTGAAAATATTCTTTGGTGCTTGGTCAGTGATTGTACACTATTTCAGTATGGTCTTGGTAAAAATGTTGGTAATTTTTTTATGTTAACAAACTTCAGTTTAATCAGTCTAACATTCCACATCTTCTTTCTCCCTTTAGGTAATCTTTTACTGTAGTGGGCTGTGAACTAGTTACTAGTTAAGTATGTTTGTTCCCTTTGCCCTGTTTCTGGAAATGGTCAAGGCTGAGCTGAATTGTTGTGGAACTTTGTTGGAAGAGCGCCCATCTGTGCGTAATTGAATAAATTTCTCAGCTGTTTCCATTGCTGACCTTCCATATTTTCCAGTGCTACTAATTAGGTCTCCTTAATTTCATATATTTTAATAGTTTAGTGGGATGTTTTGGAAAAGAGGAATTAAATATTTGAGATTGTGAGTAAAACCATGACAGAGAAGCGGCTCTTGCTCGGGAGTATGAGATACATGATCTGAAATTTTGGGGGTAGGGATGTGAAAGGCAAACCCTGCCACACTATCCCATCCAGGCCATGTTATTCCTGTGAGGACAGTGCTGTTCCTCTCCACTGGCTTCTCTTACTGACCTCTTCACCTGCCTCAGTACACATACAGGGAGTCACAAGACAGGTTGACAGGAAAGGGTCCAGACTTTTTAAACCAAGCGTACAACAAAAATCTCTCTCCACGGAGGAGGGAGGCGGAAGTGCGTTGACTGTGTGCAGGGAGCCTGGAGGGGGAATAAGGGTGGTATTTGGGGCTTAGGGATCCAGGAATGAGAGAGAGATGAGAAGCTCAGGAGCAGGGGAAATGGAAGCATGTGCTCTGACCTTGAGCTTGGCAGGTACTAGCAGGCCCAGGGTCTGTGTCTTCAAGGGACAGTCAGCCCAGTGCATGTACTTGCTGCTGCCACAACATGTGTGGGTTCACTCGGACAGGAGAGTGTTCTGAAGAAATAGGTAGAAAAACCCATCTGTTGATCTTCCTATAGGAGCTTCGTGCTCCTGAATCCCCAGTGTTTGAGTGAACAGCAGAGACTGGCTTTGCCACACAGCGAATTCCTCCTTGTGTGTGGCGGCGGTACAGCGAAGTGTTATGTTGACTGGAAGCCTAAGAGTCATCTCCACACTCAGGAGTGACTTCTTAAGACTCATCTTGCCTGAGAAAGAAACTTTTCTTGTGTCTTTTTTAATTTCTTGATTTGACTTTAAAAACTGTTTAATTGATTTCTATCAGTTTTTCCTTGCTTCATTTAATCTTTTAATCTTTCTTTTAACTTTTACTAATTATCTTCTTTGTAAAATTTGAAATGTCAGTTTACTCTTATTTTCTCTTAGTTTGTAAAGTTGAACAATTGGTTCATTCATTTTCAAGTCCTCTCTAGTAAGTATACTTAAAATTTATACATTTTTTCTTCTTGGAAAAAAAAGACTTATTTATTTAAGAGGGCATGCACCCACTCCGGTTCCAGGGTTGGGGGTGGTGGGCAGGGCAGAGGGAGAGAAAATCTCAAGCACACTGCACTCTGAGTGCAGAGCCTGAAGTCGGGCTCAATCTCATGACCCTGAAATCATGACCTGAGCTGAAATGAAGAGTCAGATGCTTAACTGACTGAGCCACCCTGGGAGGTGCTCCTAAAGTTTATACATGTTTTCAAGATAATAACCGTGGCCTTATCCCATGGTTTGATGTTTTTCAGGAGGCTCAGACGGTCTTAGGACATCCTCACTGAGTCTCCCCTATCAGCACAGACCTGTCAGTACAGGACTTTTAACATTCAGGAGGCTCATCTATGAATTAATGTCAGCAAGAATGATGTCCATGAACTAATGAGGACCAAAAACAAAAACTGGAGTGGGATGAGATAGTGTGAGATGAGGAGAAGTGCTTGATGAATGGGCGCACTTCCTGGTGGATTCAAGGACACAGGAGGGCAACAGCTGGACACAACAGCAGCCCAGAAACTTTTTAGTTCAAATTTCAGATTGGATGATACCTAACATTTAAGTGCTAAGAGGATCTATCAAGTAGGGAGTAAAGTTATTAGTTTATAAGCAATAACATAAAATTCATGATATGACAGGAAATAACAGGACCCAAACATAAAGTTAGAGATAAAAAACCTGAGATTGAAAGTAATTCTTTTAATGGTTGAAAGCATCTGCCTCTAAAATTACCTACGTCATGTGTGAAGTAAGTTACCAATCATCTGATGAATGAAAGAGGAAAGACAAGTCTATGGAAACTAATATGTTGTAGCAAAAGTTTGAAATAGCATTTATTTTACATGGGAGTTGGAATTAACATGCAAGACCTAATAGGATTGCCAGATATTTTTGAGAAATGACCAAAATAACCTGAGATACAGTGGATATTTATTGTGCTCCTTACTGGAATTATTTTTTTGTAGAAGATTTTTTTTTTTAAGCCAGAAGATTTTATCTCTGCAGCAGTAGAAATGCCACTTAAATGTATAATTCAGTTGTGAATGAGATACTGAATAAACTATTAACTACACTGTGTTGTGTATTAACATTTCACTTCCCATTAGCCAAAAAATAAAGTATAAGGTGGGTTTCCCATTTTAATAAATGAGCTAATAAATTTTTTTAATTTAAGTTTTAGGTAGTCAACCTACTGTGCTATATTGGTTTCTGGAGTGGAATTCAGTGATTCATCACTTACATAGAATATCCACTGCTCATCATAACCAGTGCCCTCCTTAATACCCATTACCCACTTAGCCCATCCCCCACCCACCTGCCTCCATCAGCCCTGTTTGTTCTCTGTTGTTGAGTCTCATGGCTTGTTTCCCTCTGTCCTATTTTTCCTTTCTCACTTCCCATATTTTCATCTCTTTACCTTCTTAACTTCCATATAGGAGTGAGATAATAAGGTATTTGTCTTTCTCTGACTGACTTATTTCACTTAGCTTAATACACTCTGGTTCCACCTACCTTGTTGCAAGAGTTCATTTTTTTGATGGCTGAGCAGTATTCCACTGCGTATTTATACACACTACATCTTTATCCACTCACCAGGTGATGGACATTTGGGCTCTGTCCATAGTTTGTCTGTTGTGGATAATGCTGCTATAAAACATTGGGGTACATGTCCCCCTTTGAATCTGTGTTTTTGTATCCTTTGGGTAAATACCTAGTACTGCAGTTGCTGGATGGTGAGGTGGTTTTATTTTTAACTCTTTGAGGAAACTCCATGCTGATCTCCAGAGTGGCTGGCTGTACCAGTTGGCATTCCTGCCAGCATTGCAAGAGGGCTCCCCTTTTGCCACATCCCTGCCAACACCTGTTGGTTCTTGTCTTAATTTTAGCTATTCTGAACAGGTATGGGGTGGTATCTCATTGTGGTTTTGATTTGTATTTCCCTGATGGTGAATGATGTTGAGCATCTTTTCATGTGTCTTTTAGCCATTTTGGATATCTTCTTTTGAAAAGTGTCTATTCATGTTTTCTTCCTATTTCTTAACTTGGTTATTTGTTTTTTGGGTGTTTGATACAGTCTTTGTAGATTTTGGATACTACTCCTTTATATCCTATATGTTCTTTGCAAATATCTTCTCCCATTCATAGGCTGCGTTTTAGTTTTGTTGATTGTTTCCTTCACTCTGGAGAAGCTTTTTATCCCGATGAAATCCCAATAGTTCATTTTCGCCTTTGTTTCTCTTGCCTTTGGAGACGTGTCTAGCAAGAAGTTGTGGTGGCCAAGGTCGAGGAGGTTTCTGCTTGTGTTCTTCTCTAGGATTTTGATGGATCCCTATCTCACCATTAGGTCTTTCATCCATTTTGAGTTTATCTTTGTGTGTGGTGTAAGAAAATGGTCCAGTTTCATTCTTCTACATTTAATTGACCTGAGGGTTGAGGGTCCATCTCTGGGTTTTCTATTCTGTTCCACTGATCTATGTGCCTGTTTCTGTGCCAGTACCATACTGTCTTGATGATGACAGCTTTGTAATAAAGCTTGGAGTCAGGCATTGTGATGGCACCAGCCTTGGTTTTCTTTTTCAACATTCCTCTGGCTGTTCAGGGCCTTTTTGGTTTCCATACAAGTTTTAGGATTATTTGTTCCAGCTCTGAGAAATGTCAATGGTATTTTTTTTTTAAGATTTTATTTATTTATTTGACAAACAGAGATCACAAGTAGGCAGAGAGGCAGGCAAAGAGAGCGGGGAAGCAGGCTCCCCGCTGAGCAGAGAGCCTGATGTAGGGCTCTATTTCAGGACC